TAATCACTTTTGAGCTTAGAGAATTTTGAAATAAAACTTAAGTTATTTTCTCTCCAGGAGTCGCCCAAGTTCTAGTCATAGCTTTAGGGATCTGAAATCTCCTAAAGCCTTTTGTGAGCTTTCCTTGGCATTCTTTGCTAGAGTGCTTCCATCTTAGGTTTGGACCATCCAACCTAGTCTTCTTTTTCATTCCTTCCGCTCAAATTCAAGGTCTCAAGGAGGAGATAAAGTTCGGATATAAGCAAGGGAGATTCATCCATTCATCTCTTCTACTTGCATCCATCAAATCACCTGGGTGGTTCATAATACTCACTGCTAGCCTGAAGAGGTTGAGAAGAATATACTAGCATTGATGAGTGAAGTCAACGGGCCAAAAGTGGTCAACAATACTTGAGTACTTCATTTCATATCTAGTGGAACCCTTCAAGTTGAAGGAGACTGGACGTAGTTCAGTTGAGCAAACCAGTATAAAAGTGATTACACTACTCTATCTATATTTTAGATGCAGATTATTGTCAATTGTCAAATCATAATTAATCTTCGTCTACTGTCTATTCTTCATTAAAACTGTTTCTTAGACGAAGACGCAAATTTTGTTTAACAAACATATTAGACTGAAAAGCCTTATCCTCTACTTGTCTTCAAATGAAACTATCTTGAAAAGGAAAATGTTAGAACTTCAATAATTATCATTATAAAACATTTTTCTCAATAGACGATAAATTCTTCAAATGCAATGACATTATGTTAACCAAATTTTGTGTAACCGTTTGACATTCAAAAGTGCATTAGAGAATAACATTACTCTTGCGAAAACGTTTCTAAAATTCCTTCATACTAATACACACATATTCAACCCCCCTCCCCCTTCTATGTGTTTTTCCGCTAACTTCATGATTTAGTTTTGTCCATCGTTCGTGGTTTTGTATCATCTAAGGCTTCACTAATTTTCTTTCTTATGCTGGGCTTGTTTTTGCTTGATTTCTTCATCTGATGTCTTGTAGCTTTTTCCCTTTATCTTGGTTGCTCATGCTCTATTCTTTATTTTGCGTTGTGTCTGGTATGTTTCCTTCTTTTGATCAACATTTATCCGGTGCTTAGCTCATTATGTATTTGTTCTGGTGTAGAAGGTGGTACATGCATATTCTCTATTCTTTAACTTGCTTGTACTTATGTTTTTATCTGAAACACTAACACATTTGTTAGAGATAACAATATGCATTATATTTATCTCATTCAAAACCTTGCTGGGAATTTCTTCATCTAACTTAACACTACAATGCCAGGAAAGTACAAAGATGTCTAGGTCATGATTAATTCCAGACATAGAAGTAAACAAATAGTACAAAAGAATTGGTGAAACGTAGATTCTGCAAGCAAACATTTAATGCAAGATCAAATGCATTAAATGCAAGATCTATGAAGCCTAGACAAACTAAACAAGAGAATCAGATGATCGCTACTCAAGCATCAAGATCAGGTCCAATCACAGACGGAAGAACATTCAATAAACACTAGATTCGGCTTACTACAAGTCGAGACATTGAAGCATCAGATGAAAAGCCAAAACAAGGCTAAACCTGGAAAAATAAATAGATGGGTTAAACATCAGATGAAACCAGATGGTCAACTCTAATAAAAGAACAGTCAAGGCAAGGCACATCACACCAAACAAATCAAATTGAAAAAGACAAAGTACAACATGTGCACCAGACAACTATGAGTCCAATATCAAATGAAGGTGTGTCAAGGACAACCTCCAGTGCAACATAAGGAATTAAACGAAGCATGAGACAAAGAATAGAAGAAAGTCAAACGAAGGATAGCACAGATTGAAAGACACGTCAGACAAAGAACAAAGTC